CACCATCATCACCACCACCGTCATGACCATCACCACCATCACCATTATCATCATGATCATCACCACCATCAACATTGTCATCACCACCATCATGACCATCACCACCATCACCACCATCACCATCAGCACCACCATCACCATCATCATCACCATCAGCACCATCATCACCATCAGCACCACCATCACCACCATCACCACCATCACCATCAGCACCACCATCACCATCATCATCACCATCGTCACCATCATCACCACCACCATCATCACCATCATCACCACCATCACCGTCATCATCACCATCACCACCATCACCACCAACACCACCAACACCATCACCATCATCACCATCATCATCACCATCAGCACCACCACCATTGTCATCACCACCATCACCATTGTCATCACTACCATCATGACCATCACCACCATCACCATCGTGACCATCATCACCACCATTGCCATCAGCACCATCACCACCACCATCACCATCATCACCACCGTCTTGTTTACCACCACACTACAGAAGAGAAATCATTATGTTCACTTTACACAAGAAGAAACTGAGGTTCAGAGACAGGGCTTTGCCAAAGACGAAGAGCTAGGTAGGGGCAGAGCTAGAGGCTCAATTGCTTGATAACTATTTGTTGAATAGATCACAGAGCTGCATTCTCTACCTCCTGGCTCACTGAGTGATGTTGGTGAGTCTGTCTTCTCCTGTAGCCTCAGTAACAGGACAGTGAAGCTTTAGACTTACATCTTGGGGCTCTAAGGTCCCCCATTCTCCTGCCCCCCACTGCCAGCGCACCTTCACTGCCGAGGCCAGGCGCCGGTCCCGCTCCTCCAGCTGCTGGTGCTCACTCTGTAGCTCGCTGCCTCTCTGTAGCAGCTTCTGCTTCTCTTCTTCCTTGACTAGCAAAGAGAAGGCCAGGTAAGCAAGCAAGGTGAGCAAAACGCCTGGGCCGTGCGCGAGCGGGAAAAGCAGAAAGAACCCGAGGTCTACGCCTCTAGGCCATTCGGGCCACATCCTCCTGCAGAAGCCATTGGCCCTGGCCGCATACACAGGGGCTAGAAATGCCATCCCCCCACAGTAACTGCCCTGCGCACAGGACCAGTCCCAGTGTCCCTCTTTGCAGAGCTCTGGCTGGGAACAGCTTCAGGTGGGCCCAGAGTGAGTCCCGAGGACGGGGCTGGGGATGGAGAGAAGGGAGGAGGTGCCCTTCTCCACTCCCCGAGGCTGTCTTACCCGTCTTGTGGGTGACGTAGGAGTGCACAATGGCCAGCATCCCTGTCCAGGGCACGCCATCGTCTTTCTTTAAGGCCTAGAGGGCAGACGGGTTGATGAGCAAGCGGGCAGGCCAGAACATGCCATGGCCTGGCCGTGCAACCCTGGACGGGGCGGGGGGCGGTGGACACAAGCTCTCTGAGCGGTAGGTCCCTCAACCGTGATGGGATGGGGGCTGCCCCTGGCTCACGGTCTGGCTCACAGAGTTCCTTGAGAGCAGGAACTGCTTCTTGCCAGGGCCCCACTCGGTGCTGGTGTGGAGGAGGCCCCAATTCTTGACTGAATGCATCCATGAATGACCACCTGCCTTCTTCCCTTGTCCTGGGGACCCGACAGCAGCTCCACCGAGGGCCCAGGGAGTCCCCACCATCATGCTGAACTCAGGAAGACAATCCTGTGCCCTCTCTGTCTTCCCTCGAAGAGCTGTGAGCCTCAGGCAGTCACAGCTGGTGGCCCCCACAGGAGACCGTGACATAGTGCCCCCTGTATCCACCCTCTCCCTAGGTCCCCGGGATGACGCGAACCCATGAGAATCAGTGTTTTCTGAAATAAAGATGATTCCCCTATGATTTTACAAGTAACACATATGCATTATATAGAAAAACATCCTTCACAAAAAAGCACTGTTACTTCCCACGTGATTCTAACACTTGGAAGTATGTCCTCCATGGTTTTTATTCTACCTGCAGCTTTTCTCAGGGGCTGATGATTAAACCATACAGCCACTATAAAGCCCTGGTGTTTTCTTTTTTAAAAACTTAATTCCACATAGAGAACAAGCCCTAAAGAATCACAAACTCTTTGTAAAGATCATTTTCAATGACCACATAACATCACCTTGCGTGCACATGCCGGAATTTATTTCACTGCCTCCTACTGCTGCAAGGTAGCTCTATCTCTTCCTTTATAAATACGGGGCGAGGGGTTTCTTCGTGCACAGAACTTTATCGGTATTTGGATTCTTTCTTGAGACCACATTCCCCAAAGCTAGATTCTGCATTAAAAAGATATATACATTTTTTAAGGTTCTTGATAAGATTCTGCAATGCGGAGAGTGTCTGCCTCCCCGCATCATCACCAGAAGGGAGTGTTACTGTTTTTTCGAACGTGCTAGGTTTTCATTTGTGTGGCGGCAAGGAGAAGGAACACGTTAGCTGGCACTGTTTTTGCGGTTTGCATTGCTAGTCCTGGTCTCCCCAGGGGGAGTCTGGAGTTCAGAGGGGGAGTCACTGGGTCAGGTGCTGCACGGGGACACCTCTGCTCAGTCGTCACCAGTGGGCCTCCACGGGCAGTGTCTGAGATCTCAGGCCACTATGGGGGTGCTCCTGGCATCTAGTGGGCAGAGGCTGGGGCGCTGCTGAGACCCTACAGTGCACGGGCCCAGCCCAGCAGATTATCCAGCCTCAGGTGCTATGCCGGGGGAGGGTCCTTCGGTGCAGGGAGAGTCGGCAGCACAGCCTCCCATACCTTCTGCTGGCACTTGGGGCACCGCCACATGCCCTTGGGCACCGTCTTGAGGGGCGGGTCCAGGCAGCTGAGGTGGTAGGCCCCCGGGCAGGTGCCGCAAGGCTGCAGGTTGGCCCCTCGCTTGCAGGCAGCACAGTGCTCAGCGTGGGTGATCTCACTCTGGAAGAGAAGGGAGGGCGGGAGGCGGGTCAGTGGGGCTGGGAGGGGGCTGGGGGCCCCCCGGGCAGCTGCCGTCCTGAACTGCTTGTGACCCACTGTTTCTCAGCAGCTCCAAGAGAGAGAGGGACAAGCCTTGGAACCGGGAGGACGAGCAGCTGCCTGTCACGTGGACTCTAGGGCACCACCTGGGCCATGTTTACTAGGGACACGGCCACCGAGTCAGAGTCAGGCGGGGTGTGGCCCTGGCACCCTGATTCATCCCGGCTGAGACCTGGACACCAGGTGTGGGTAGCGGGGCAGGCGGTCCTGCTGTGGCTTAGGAAACCGTCCCCCTGGGCCCCCAATGTCCCACAGACCAATATCCTGGGGGGGGAGGGCAGGCAAGTGCTCACAAAGCCTCTCCCCAGTGCGTTCTTCGTGCATGGCCTTGGGAGGTACGCGGCCACGGTCCTCCCCAGTGCTCTTGACAACACCTCGGTCTAACCTGGCCTCTCCCAACATCCCGGGTGGGTTACTGTGCTCCTCTGTTTCCACATCTGTAATGTGGGCTAGTGACGCCTGCCCCACAGGATGCTGGGAGGACTCAACAGGACACGGCGCACAAAACACAATCCATGTAGGAGCCTGGTAAGGGGCGGCTTCCTCTTTCCCTGGGATAAAGGAACTTCAAATGTCCCTTCCAGAGTCACCCACATTTGGTGGTTCAGCCTCTGCTTACACAGCTGTGGGGACAGGGAGCTCACTACCTCCCAGCCAGCCTGCTGCACTGTGGACAGCCCTGACAGAGAGAGGAACCTTTCATAACGCCACGCCTCCCGTGACCTGCAAAGTCGGAACGGTTTTCCACCACCCGCTAGAAAATCTTCTCCACACACGGGACGTCTGTTCTCCACCCACATGGCAGCAGTGCCTTCTGACTTCATGGCTGTGAAGGACCAGAGGACTCTCATCTGGAATGGCCCACGCCACGAGGACCCTGGACCCCAGGCTGCCCCTGACGGAGGGGGCAGCAGACAGAGATGAGGCCTCAGAGACTCGCTGTCACCTCTCATTTCAGTGCAGGAGCTCAGGGAAGGCGAGCCACGCACCCGGGATGGCTCAGTAAGCTGCAGGTGGACGCGGGACCAGCAGCGGGGTCTCCCGCCTCGAAGCCACGGCCCCCCAGGACTGGGGCCTGCGGGAGCGGAGCTCAGGCTCCAGGCACGTCCTGTGTCCGCGCTGGTTGGGCACAGGCGTCTGTGGACAAGCCACCAGCACCAGTCTGTGACACTACACGGTTCTGGCGGCAAAAAGCCAGGTATCACCAGAGTGCATACCTGTCACGTGCTGCTGCTTAGTGGCCCGACTGTTACAGGCATGTAGGGGCTACAAATTCTCCTAGCATTAGATCCAAAACTTAGTTAAAAAAGGAGGTCACAGGGCACCTGGGTGGCTCAGTTGGTTGAACATCTGCCTTCAGCTCAGGTCATGATCTCAGGGTCCTGGGATCGAGCCCCGCATCGGGCTCCCCGTTCAGTGCTGAGTCTGCTTCTCCCTCTCCCTCTACCACTCCCCCTGCTTGTGCTCTCTCTCTCTCTGTCAAATAAATAAAATCTTAAAAAAAACCACAAGGTCACGACCAGCTTGTGTCCTGGGAAGCAGGGACGCACTGTGTGCTTGGGGAATCGGGGTCTCAGAAGATCACAGAAAGGGGAGTCCTGAGGGGTGAGACCCTGGGGATTACCGGGTCTAGACCCTCGCAAGGCGGGCAACGGGGACCTGAGAGAGGCAGCTCCCCCTGGGGTCACACAGCAGGGCCGAGGAGAGCCCCGTAGAGCCCGGCCGGCAGCCAGCGTCAGCTGCCTGCACCTGGGCCTTCTTGGCTCCCAGGGTCCCTGCGTCCTCAGCCGTGGGTGGAGAGAGCTCGTGTTTGAGCAGCCTGTGGACTGACCCTGTGGGGACGCCCGACTCTGCCAGGCAGGCTGGACAACGGCCTGGCTGGGGTTGCAAAGCTCTCGGTATCGAGCACGGAGCCCGAAGGCCCTCCGCTCGCTCCGCTTGCCCCTGCCTGGAGCGCCCACGCCTGCACCCGCCCCGCCCAGGTGTGCCGGCGAGGGGACACCTACCTTCCAGCAGGGGTCCTCATTGGCTAGCACGGGGAAGAAGGGTGGAGAACATGTTAGTGGGCGTTGAGGAACACCAATCAGGACCGGAGGCCACGAGGCCCGGTGGGGCAGGGGTTCCCACCCCAGGGCAGGACAGGAGCATCACAGGCCCCTGGACACCGTGTTCTCACCCGGGGCACGGCGGAAGCAAGGGTCTCTGCCCTGGTCGGGGCCGGGACCCACCATGGGGCGGGCAGTGGGCTGCCCTGCAGGGGAGCCATCATTCCAGGCACCTCTCAGAGTGACTTATTTTCAACTGTGGTTTTTGGGTTTTTTTGTTTGTCCATAACCCACTCTCCTTCCAGTAAGTGATGCCAAACCACACATTTAATGATCACAAAACATGGTTTTCCTTTTAGTCGCTGGCTCAGAGCAGTCCGCAGATGATACCGTCCAGAGGGAACACGCGAGCATTTACCACGTGCCGTCACATCCAGGCCTCGCGTCATCGTCCCGGCTCGGGGCCCCGGTTCTGACACCTGTCAGAGGGCAGCAGGCTCCGCCAGCCCACCTCCTCCTCAGAGAGGGTATCGGGGCGAAGGCGGCCGTGGTGTGGAGGGCCCGGGAGCCGGAGTGCACCATCCACCAGAAAGCAACTCTGTCCCGCTGTGGACGGGCCGGCCAGCCCCATGCAGGCCAAGAGCGGAGGGCCACCCACGCCGACTCGGCCTCAGGCCCCAGGGCAGCCACGGCCCGCGGACACCTACCTCTCGCTGTGAGGAACAGGGGGGTGTTGAGATAGTTGGACGCCAGCCGTTTCCTCTGCAGGGGACCGAAAACAAAACAAAAGCAGCTCACGTGGAGCCCTCCTCGGTGACACTGCTCCTGCCCGGGACGCACCCGGGACAGGCTCCCCACCCAGGGCTCCGGAGGTCGCAACGGGACGGACGCGCAGGGCAGGGGAGCGGCCGGTGAGTCAGCAAAGGCTCTGCCCTGAGGGAAGCACGGCCTCCACCCCTGAGCGAGCTCAGGAAATCAAGGAGGAAGTGAGGGGTATAAAGATGGACCCTTCGGGAGTGTTCTCCGAGCAGGGGCTGGGGGTATAAGCAGAGGGCAGGGGCGGCCAATGGCATTCTGATCTCCCGCGTCTGTTTCTCAACTGACTCTGAACTCAGGAAGGGAAGAAGGACATCATTTATTGTCGTGCCCTGAACTCCAATGCCCAGAGGGGCAGGGGAGGGAGGCAGCCGCAGGGCAGGTGCGCAAGGGCGGGGCCTCACCTCCGTCTCCAGGAGGCCACTGTACGCAGGATTAGCTGTGCTTCTTCTCTTCCGCTCTTGGCGTTTGCTCTGGATTTCTGGAAAGGCACAGACACAGCCGTTACTGGATCCTTCCTGGCCTGGGAACCCCGAACTCTTCCTCTGCAAGTCCCGGGCATCCCTGTCCCCTCCTGCCCTACGGCTTCTGTCTGCCCAGCATCCCCGCCCCAGAATGGCCCCCGAATTGCTCCCTCCGAGGCAGATGGATGGGCTGGCTTCGGGCTGGAGGGTGGCAGGTACCCGCTCTCAGCACGGGGTCCCCCATGTGCCATGATCCACCCCAGGGACGTGTCTCGTGGGATGTCTGCCAGCCAGGCACTGGCCCGGCCCAGCTGCACAGTGAGGCTCAGGGCTCCCACAGGAACCCATCCACCTGCCGCTCAGGTAGGCTCTGCCCACATGAAGCCTCCAGCACGAATCCTCCTGGGGCCCCCAGTGTGGTGTGCTTCACGTAGTGACAGTGACCACCCCACAGGAATGGTCCCCGCCTTTCCTTCCTTCTGTTTTGCCTGCCAGGTGGAACCTGGGACCTGTTTCTCTGAATACAGCTGTTTCGACATTTTTTCCTAACTTGTCTTTTGGACCCCTACTTTTTCCTTTTAAATCTTTGCAGTATCATTCATGTGTTTCCCGTAAGGCACCCCAGACCCTCTGTGGAAGACAGGGTCCAAATACATAAATATTTAGGGTATCAGGGTTAGAGAATTTTTACAAGGAGGGCTATTTATAAAAACCCTAACAGTCACGACAGTATCAGGAAAGCTTTTTCATCCCAGTCCTCATGACAACGCTGCAAAATTTCAAGGTGCAGTCTTCCTCGTGTTACAGAAGAGGAGACTGAGGTTCAGAGTGGAGGGAGCTTGCCCAAGGTCACCCAGCTCGAAGCAGCATGACCAGGACTCCAATGCAGACCTTCGGACATGACCAGGAGGGCCCAAGCCTGAGTGGTTAGCAAGTGGCAGGACTGGGCAGTCTGGCTCCAGCATCCACTCCCCTGGGCTGCGTGCAACGTGGGAGCAGGGGACCCACACGATTCCTTTGCCGAAACGAGAAAGTGGGTCTGTGCAGACAGCCATGGAGCCAGGGAGAGCAGTGAGGCTTTCTTGGTCTTTGTGCTGACAAGCCTTGGCACTTGGGACAGACCTCCCAGAAGGCGGTTCACTCATGTGTGCGGCCCTCCCACCAGCCACCACCCCACGGCCACCACCCCAGCCTGCCACCATGCAGGTCCTTACCTTCCAAGTGTTCCGTTGTGACCAGGCCTAGAGCTACCATGAAGGCGATTTTCTGAGGGAAGGAAACAGAGAAGCGTTAACACAGCCTTCCCCGTTCGTTGATTCAGTAAACATTGGCTGAGCACCGCCGTGATGGGGCTGGCTTCTCTGTTTCGGGTTTCCCTCGTTTTTACCTACTGTCCGTTCTCTGTCCCAGGACCCCATCCAGGATCCCACACTGCATCTAGTTGCTGTGTCTCCTTAGCTCCTCTGGGCTGTGCCAGATTCTCAGGCTTTCCTTGTTGATGGTGACCTTGACCATTTATTTGGAGCTTGGGCTGGTCAGGCAGGACGCCCTTCAGTTGGGACTGGTCTGATGGTTTTCTCATGATTAGACTGGGTTATGGGCTTGGGGGCGGGAGACTACAGAGGTGAGGTGCCCTTCCTGTATCCGGGGTACGTGTTATCAGCGCGACTTCTCACTCGGCCGCTGCCCTCGATCACCTGGCTGGGGCGCCGCCAGGCTCAGCCTTCTCCATGGCAAAACCCCTCTCTTTCTGCCGTCCACACTGTCCTCGTCGGGAGGAAGTGGCTGTGCACACTCACACTTCAGGAGGTGGGAATGATGCTTTTTTTGGCCATTTAAACGAAAAAAACTTGTATGTAGTAGAAATTACCAGTGTTTTCTTTTTCATTGTTTGGGTTTTTGAATCTTAGCTACAGACTCAAGTTATAAAGCAAATTGCTTATGTTCAATTGTAGTACCTACAATTTCACTCTTTACATTTATTTTCTTCTTATTATTATTTTTAAGTAGACTCCACGCCCAACATGGGGCTCAGACTCACGACTCTGAGACCTGGAGTCCCATGCACCACCGACTGAGCCCCTCACTGTTCACATTCAAATTTTGGGTCCGTTTGGAATTTACCCTGGTGTAGATGGTGTGAAGGATGGATTCCTTTTATTTCGTATGGCTTCTACTCGTTTGTTCTAATCCCACCTATTGAAAATTCCATCGTTCCACTTTTCACTGGTTTAAGGAGCCCCTTTAATCATATACTGAATGATCAGGGGTCTACGTGGTCTCTTTCTGTGCCTCCTATCCCGTTCCTCCAGCGTTTCCTTGGCTCTTCTTGCTTATGTTTGCACGTGAAACTTAGAAGCCATGAAGGAGACTGAGGTATATTTCCTGGGATGTAAAAGTTTCCTTTCCAGAACCATGGTGCGCCTCTCTGTTCTTCTGCCTTTAGGGGTTTCAAACTTCCCCTCCAGTGGGTATCGACTGTTAGTGTGCTTATCCTAGATTTTTATCTTTCTTTTAATTTTTTTTTATGGTTTTTAAAAAAGATTTTATTTATTTATTTGACACAGAGAGACACAGCGAGAGAGGGAACACAAGCCAGGGGAGTGGGAGAGGGAGAAGCAGGCTTCCCGCGGAGCAGGGAGCCCGACAGGGGGCTCGATCCCAGGACCCTGGGGTCATGACCTGAGCTGAAGGCAGATGTGCAACCAGCTGAGCCACCCAGGTGCCGCTAGGTTTTTCTTTTCTTTTTTTTTTTTTAAAGAAAGAGAGAGAGAGATACCTCTAGAGAGAGAGGCAGAGGGAGAGAGAACCTCAAGCAGACTCCCTGCTGAGCACGGATATGACACAGGGCTCGATCTCTTGACCCCAAGATCATGACCTGATGAAATCAAGAGTCTGGACGCTCAACCGACTGAGCCACCCAGGTGCCCCTATTCCTAGATATTTAATCTGTTTGTTGCTACTGTAAGTAGGGGTATCGGTAAGGCTTCTAGCAGGATGTTCTGCGTTTCTGTGACGATTATCAATGGCTTGCATTCATATTAACCCTGCCGTGCCAGATTCTGTCTGCAGTAGTTTTGTTTTATTTTTTAATTGATTCTCTTGGGTTTTCTACACCATTTCAAATAGTGACTGCCCACTGTTTCTTTGCATTTTGTTTTTTTTTTTTTACTTCTATGCTGTTAAAAATAGTTCTCCTCCTCAATCTGTCAGCTTTCTGTGATCTTCTTTGAGTCACTGAAAACCTCGGCTACTACAGAGGAGACTGGCCGAGAGCTCACGCTGCCTCCCACCTTCTCCCGCACTCTCCCTGCGGAGTTAGAGGTGAAGCCTTTGGATGTTGTTGGAGAACTTAGTATCTACGTTCTCAGCCAACGCGGGGGGGAGCCAGGCCCACGGAGCCGCATTTCCAGAGTTCTTGGGCAGATTTAAACCCTCCTATGTGCAGCCTTTCAGTTTGAAGGCCAGCTGGGCTGGACATAAAATCCTCGGCTCCTCCCTTCTTTCCTCAGGATGGTGTGGATAATGCTCTACTGTATTCTGGGCTTGAATCCTGCATGGAAAAGCCAGAAGCCGGCTGTTTTCCCTGCAGAGTGACGTGATCGCTTCTGCCTGGATGACTTCTGGATGCTTCTGTGCTGGGTTATGTGTCAGTATTGATCCTTCTCCCCTGGTGCACACGTTCATTTTCCCTGGTGCCCAGTACCGGGGACACAGTCCATTAACATGCACACAGTCTCCTTTGGTTTCAGTAAACATTTCTCGAATCATATTAAAAAAATCAGGAAGTACAACCACACTATGAAAAGCGGGGCCCATTAATTCTATCCTGGAAGGTGTGTGCTCACATGAATGCAAGACTAACAAAATGGTTAACGTGCCCACAGAGGGGATTCTGGGGCCCGGCAGATTCGGCCGATAGCTGTCCAGGCTGCAGTTTGGGGCCACCTGGCTTCAGCGTTGTTTCTGAGCCCCGGGGCTGACTGCATGGTGGCAGGGACTCTCGGGGACCCCCCCCAGTACTGGCATCTGCCTCGCTGACCCCACCTGGAAAGACTAGGCTGAGCAAATACCAGCAACGTGGAGACCAAGCTCCCCCTTCCTGCCACCCTTCTTCCACAGGAGATAACCTGAGCCCACATTCACTTGAGGAAAAGAAATGGGACCCAACTGCCTACACAGTAGAGTCAAACCCACATCACCGCGGGCAATGCAAAGCATCACCTCCTCTACTTGGCTCCGTAATTCTGGGATCCGTTCCAGAAGCCTCAGCTTACACATCGGCTGTGTCCTCTTTGCTTGTCTTTGTCGGGATCACTCTTGACTATTTAAAAACTCATTCTTCCTTTTTTATTGTGTGTACTTTGCTCGCTCGCTCCCGCCTCCTCTGTGCCTGTGTCCCCTGTCCTCGGCTGTGTCTAGGGCCCCCTGAGCTCATCCACTTACAGATTTATTTCCGGGAATGATTCCAGCTCACGCTTCGTTCTCTCTGGTATGGTGGCCACTCAGCCATCTCCTCCCCTAAGCCTTGTAACTTCTTCCTTGGTGGTGACTATTTTACTGTTCTCTCTCTTTGAATTCATAGTAAGGTGTTGATTTTTTTTTAATCTAATGAATATTATCTTCTGGTAAAAAAATGCTTCTCTTTTCCCTATTTTTCCTTAGGGTGGCTTTGCAATGATGTTATGCCCCATGCCTCCTTTTATTAAAGGTCACTGAAGGAGCTGAACGTCCCTGGACCAGCTCTGTGCAGAGGATGGTGGGAAGCAGTTCAAAAGCATCTGCCCAGTGAACTGACTTCATTCCACATATATTATAAATTATTGCTTCTTTGTATCTCTGTGCTATATCCGTGGGTGTATTCTTTTTTTTTTTTTTTGGTGGCATGGGTAGAACAGAGAAAGAAGGAAAGAGAAAATCTTAAGCAGACTCCACGCCCAGCGCACAGACTGATGTGGGACTCGATCTCATGACCCTCAGATCATGACCTGAGCTGTAATCAAGAGCTGGATGCTTAACCTAATGAGCCACCCAGGCGCCCCTGTGGTGGTGTATTCTAAAGCACTAATAATGCCTGTTCATTCTGCCTAGTACCTTTTTAAATTTCAACCAATTACCATGTTTTTCATTCCCAGATTTTCAAACAATTTTTATGTTCACCTGATCTTACTTTATTTTTCATATTTTTTGCTTCCTTATTCCTTATTGAATTCAAGTGGATGTTACTCCTTTCTGAAAAAAACTTGCCTGATATCCTAAACGTACTTATGTGTCAGTCGTTGCTAGAGTATGCCACAAAATTAACTTCCTCTTGAATCAACTCAAGTTCCAGATGCTGACTCTGACTGCCATCCTTAGGGGTTGCTGCATGGATTCCAGAATTCTGTCCACAGGGTCATTTTGGGTATAACTCCTTTTTCTCTTTATTCTGCATTTTTATTTTCTCTGCCTCCTGCTCACACCTCCCTTTGGGCAGGACTGCCATCACCCTGGCCTTGCCCCTCACCCTGGGGGCAGCTGTGGCCTCAAGCTCAGATTGGCGCCTTTCTTTCTTGGAGAACTTCTGGGACCTCTGGCCACGTGTGAGCCATGCCCTTCCTGGTCACCCTCACTCGACTCTGTCTCTGGAGCCCGGTGGCCTGGGCATCGGTCCTGCTCACTGCTTGTGTTTCTGGGACACAGCAATGCATAGCTGCATCTCTGTGGTCTCTTCCTGTCGCCAGCTAGACCCTAGCACTTGACTTTGACTCCGCCTCCGTCTTTTTTTTTTTTTTAAAGATTTTATTTATTTGACAGAGAGAGACACAGCAAGAGAGGGAACACAAGCAGGGGGGGTGGGAGAGGGAGAAGCAGGCTTCCCGTTGAGCAAAGAGCCTGATGTGGGGCTCGATCCCAGGACCCTGGGATCATGACCTGAGCCAAAGGCAGACGCTTAACGACTGAGCCACCCAGGCGCCCCAACTCCACCTCTGTCTTACATTCTTCCTGAAGCTCTTCTTTCAGACTTACCTCTTAACTCAGGCAAATGAAACCCGAAACCACCCCTCGGGGGATGGCCCCTGCCCAGACCACTCGGACCATCTGAACTAAACCTGGCTCGTGCTTGCACAGATGGGCCATGGAGCAACAGGACTCCACTACAGAACTAAAATCATTACAGTGCTAAAATCTCTGCTCATGGAGGGACCTCACCTGCGTTTACATAACACACAATGTAGGTACAGGTGTGTTTCCCTAACGCGCATGCGCGACCTTATGCCCACCTCTACGAAGGATGACAAGGCTTCCTCATCTAAATATTCATCCTAACCCTAATCAAAAGGTACCCATTCACCCCATCTTGGGGAGTCACAGCGTTGGAAGCGATTCCCTGCAGTCTCCTTATTTGCTGCAAATAACGTTTACGTTGTGCGATCACTCCGCCTGGCGTATCTGACTCGCCAAGAAGCGAACTCACGTTCGTTCGGTTACGTTCCTACATTTTATCTGCTGTTCTTGTGCGTTTGCAGTGGAGCGCTACATCAGAAGCCCGCCCGGGCCGCTCTTGATGGGTTTCAAGAAGGGGGGTGACTCGGTTATTTCTGATTTTTAGAAAGATCCTTCTAGCTGCCGGGAGAATACAGAGGGGGGAACCCATCCAGGGGCAGGGAGGGATGGGGCAGGAATGGGGGCCGTGGTAACAGGGGTGGAGTGGAGGGAAGGAGCATCTGTGCACACAAGTCTTGCCCAGAGGGGTGGCTGGGCCTGGGGTTGCAGTCAGCGCTCATATGGGGCTGGGACCCTTGCTCTGGATGCCCCCCTGCAAGGCACATGCTGGTCTCAGTGTGGCCAGTCTCAGTCAGATGCTGCCCGAGGCCAGGATAATGCGTGGCACAGAAAAGGCCACAGTTCTGTCCTAAAGAAGGCCACGAGCCTTCAAACAGGGAAGAGCGGGCAGAGCCTTGGAGTGGTCCTGGGGTGCTGGTAAACCAGAGGTTCCTTTCCACCACCAGGCTGGCCCGCCACGGACAGCTTGAGCTGCCAGCTGCAGGCGCTCAGAGCTTGCTCACGCAGCCCCGGGAGCCACCGACTGTCATCAGCCACCCCAGGGCTCCAACGGGCTCATCTGATGAAGTTTCTGGGGCAGCTGCCGCTCTGGCCTCAAGTGCTCCTAACTTGGGCTCTTCGTGAACACGTTCCAAAGGGCGCCACAAAGCCCCGCGTCTGCACCACACAATGCTCCCAGACCTCTTTAAAAAGAAAGTTTAATAAGGATTTTTACACCAGGACATGTTGTAATTACAAGTTCTATTTAAGTCATTACACGTATTTACACTAATTATGCAGTTAAACGTAATTATACTAATTGTATAAACGCACGATAACTGGCTCTGATGTACTTTGAGAGAACACAGAGAATCCACCCAGAAAACCTGCGAGGACGCAATGGGTGCAACGCAACCCCACGGGAGGACAGAGGGGTGCGTGTGGGAGCCTCAGGCTGCGAGCCGGCCCGGGGCTCACCATGCATGCAGCAGGTGCTCCCACGGCACCAAGGAATGGAACTGAGTGCCTCTTGAAACAAACAGGGCCCGGGGCTACAGACCAGACTTGGTTCCATCTCAGCCTCAGCGAGCAGTGGACTCTGACTCTCTGCAGGCTTTTTGGACACCTCAAAGGACAATAATCAAGTCACTCTCCTGCTCAAAGATATTCTGTGGTTCCCCACTGCCCAGGGAATAAAGTTCCACCTTGGGGGCCTGCATGCAATGCAGGTCCTCCAGGATGAGGCTCCAGCGTCCCTCTAACCCTGTGCTCAGAATTTCTCAGGCATCCACGATGCCTGCGATCCAAGTAGACCAGCCGACTCTCCTGGCCTGCCAAGTGCCTTCCCACCTTCCATGCGTCGGCCTAGGCAGCGCCCTCTGCACCACACGCCATCCCCCCCCCCCCCCCCGCCTCTGCCCCTCTGTTGAAGCCCCACCTGCTCCCCCAGGCCCTGCTGATCCCACCCCTCCTCTGCCAAGCCTTCCCCAGTCCTTCTGGGTGCAAACATGCTCTCTCCTTCTCCCTGCACCTCCCACAGCTCTGGATTTGTAATTCTCTGCTGACGCTTGAGATTTTTTTAGCCGAAGTTGAAGTCTTAGTGGTTGTGCCAAGAGCAGTGAGGTCCCCTAGGGCTAGGACTCCATCTGCCCCAGCTCGGCGTCCCGACCCTCGGCACAGAGCCAACTCTAAGATATGTCTGATGAATAATGAATGGATGAAAGACTGACTTCTTTCGATACTGACAGCATGCTGATAAAAAGAATCCTAAGGAGCTCTAGGAGCCCCGAGGGGCCTCTTCTGCCCACCGAGGTGAGGTGGTCAGGGAAAGCTGCCGGGAGGAGAGGATGTCTGAAGTGAATCTTATAGGATGAATGAGAATTGGCAGCTGTGTGGGAAAAGGCCCAAAGTGTTGACTGTGGCCCGGGATGGCAGAGGACACAAGCAGTAACATAAGAGGGGTCACCTGCTGGGACCAGAAGTTAACAAAGAATGACTTTGCATTAGCTGCTGGCCTCTTACGCCCCCACAGAGCAGGTGGTTCTGTGTTAGCCACGGATTAGGATGGCGCCATGAGGGGGATGATGGGGGATGGCACTAATGTGCAATTTCTGGAAGCTTCTACCCATCACCCTGCTAGAGCACTGGCCGCACGAGATGCAAAGCCAGGCTCCCTGGTTCTAGAATCCGTGCTAACCCCTGCCCCACACCACCACGTGGGCAAAGTAGACCAGGACGAGGCTCCCGGGCAAGTCCCCACCAGGAGCTCCCACTGCACAGGGCGGCTCCCCGCCTCCTACGGCGACCCCCAGAGCCCAGCCACCCTACCTCGGGGTTCTCCTGGCTCAGGGGCCGGTCCTCCTTCTTCTTTTTGGTCGCCTGAGCTCCCTGAGATGGTTCCTCCGTGGGCGGCCGCGGCTCTGCCGTGCTCTCAGGCTGCGTCTGCACTTGAGGCTGGATGATGATGACCTGGAAGGTTGGCAGAGGGGTGGGGGTGAGGGGTAGCAACTGCGGAGGGGGAGGGGAGCCAGGGGGGCCAGAGCGGCGAGGGGCCTGGGAAGTTGGGATTACAGAGGAACGAGGAAGCCTGCACCCAGCTCTCTGGTCCATGGGGCGCCTGCACCCAGGGTGTGTGCCTCCGGACAGCCCCTTACACTGTGAGGGCTGCCTGAGTATGAGCCTGGCTTAGGAACCAGAAGAGCCTGGGTTCAATCCTGTGCTACCATGTCACAGCTGTGTGGCCTCAGGGAGGTCACTTTGCCTCTCTGAGCCTCAGCTTCCTTGCAATCCTACCTCCAGGGAGGTGGTGAAGATTCGGGAAGCAAAGACTCAAAAGACATTGGTTTCTTTATCTCCAGCTCAAGTGCAGGGAAACTGAGGTCAAGAGGGCTCAGATTTGCCACCTGAGCTCATCAGGGGTTTGTCTGAGTGCACTGCCCAGCCTGTCCCCTCCCCAGCCTGTCCCTTGGGCCCCCAGGACACTATGTCCGAGGCTTTCAAACCTGGTCTGGGGCAGGGTAGGGGTGGAGAAGGGGAAGGTGGGTTCTGGACCCTGCTCAGCAAGGCCCAGAGTGGCCCTACTTCAGCCAGCTGTCATCGGGGTTCACGGCTACCATTTGGTTTGATTGAAGGGTCTGAGGCTGAGAAGTCTGAAAGCAATTTACGAAGCCCAGCCCCTCCCTGGGTGGGAGTCCCCTCCATCTGTGGCTCAACTACTTTATTAATTTTTTGGATGGGATATTGGGAAAGAATCATTATCTTTCACAGATCCAGGGGAAGGAATTCACCAGGAGCAGTCAGCCAGGGTCTCGACCAAGCCAGGAATAACCTGAACTTGTATTTTTCCCCCTAAGAACGTGACTGTCTTGTGAATTTGACGCTCCTAAACAGGAAGAAAAAATGCATCTGTTTTTCTGCTGGCTTAAGGGAGGGCTCTTTGTTCTCCTTTGTATCATAATTTTAAAACCCCAGAATTCTCTGGATGAAAAAAAAAATGCCCCTCTTTATATTCATGGGAAGAAAAACATTAAGATACCCAGTAGAAAACAGGGCAAAAAACATTCTCAAACGAGTCACACAGAAGGAGACAGAATTCTTGAAAAGTATGGGGGAAATATTCAAGCTTCATAATAACCAAAGGAATTCAACTTTCAACAGCGAGCATCTGTTTGCACCGATTAAATGAGCAAAAAGTGTTTAAAATGACAGTACTGAATGCTGGTGAGCTTGCAGTGAAAAGGGTACACACATCCCACAAAGGCATCCCACAAACACCTGCGAAGCACCGCCTGGGGACCGGGTGTGGTCCTGAGGAACACGTCTCCCCATCCGACCACATCCTGTGATGACTGAGCATCCCCGGGGCTCCCGTCCACAGGCGGGAGGGCCCAGAAGCATAACGCTCCCAGACATATGCTATGTGCAGTAAAATCCAGGTGCACGAAAGTGGAGCACCAGTTTTCAGGCTGGAAATTAGGAGGGACGCTGGCCCCAGATAAGAGCGGGGCAGCCTGGCAGGCCCCAAACTGGGCACAGAGGAAAGGAGGCTGAAGAGATGAAGCGGTACCTTTCACGCAGCCCTGCAGCCCCAAAGGCCTCAAACCTCCCAATCCCCAAGGAGCTCGGAGGGGGACAGGGAGAGGACCTCAGTTTCAGTTTTAAATCTCGGCAAGAAATCACAGATTTTCCATTCCGGCACCGGGCATCCCCCAAAGTCCTCAACCACTCAACTATACCAGCCAGAGATCGACCACCAGGACGGGCCTCTTCTGGGAATTCATCCGGCCACACATCTTACTGGTTAATTCATGATTCCAAAGAGGGAAGTAATTCACCCATTGACCACTCATTCTTTTTCCACCGGTGTCAATCCATCCAGCCACGTGTTCGCTCAATCGCACACCCATCCATCCGCACCGCGTCATTCACGCGCTGATCCATTCACTTCCCCTCCCGCTCATACCGCCAGCCCTCCTCCCGCGGGGTCGCTCGCTTGCGGGGTCATTCCTCCGCAGCCCATCCCCTCCAGCGCGGACGCACTCACGTGACCGCTCATTCACGCCTCGCTTCGCACCCCATTCATTCGAGGGGCTCCTGGGTCCTCCCGCCAACCGCTCACTCGCTCTGCTCGGGCAACCGCCTCCAGCGTGAGCGGGCACACACCCACCTTCTTGTCGGCACTGATGAGGAGGGGCTGGACCTTGACGCTGTCGCTGACCACAGACACGGCAGTGCTGGGGGCCACGGCAGCGGCATTGCTGGGGGCGGTGGTGAGGATGGCGTAGGCCACCCCGGCACTGCTCAGGGGAGAGGCGATGGCGGCGGGCTCAGCGAGGGCCTGGGGCTGGCTGCCGGGAGCTGGCACATGGCTCACGGTGTTGTTGGCGGTGGGGAGGGCTGGGCTGGGGTTCTTGATACTGACCACGGTGGCCTTCTGGAAGGTCGGGGGCTGCTTGGGTGGCCGGTCCCGGCCCGGGGCGACGGGGAGGCTGTCTGGAATCAGAGTCTTTGGCCTAACCTGGGGAGGGAGGGACAGGTGCATGGTCAGACAGATGCCCGAGCAGGTGCATGGGGCGGCCCTGAACACAGCGGGGACTGGAGCACTGACGTGGCCGGGCTCTGAGACCTCCCATGTTAGACGTGAGGGGACAGCAGTGGAGAGGCCCTGGGGCTCAACTCTGGGCCCGAGCCCCTTCCAGCCGAACTCAGATAAGACGATGAAGAACAGGGAAGGAGGGGTGGGAAAGCGGCACGTGGACCAGTCAGGTCCCTCTGACGTCAGAAGTCCGCAGAGCGCTGTCGCTGGGGCAGGGACCGGGAGGGCCGTGGGGGCTCCTGGCCCTGCTCAGTCGGCTTCCTGACCTGGAGCGGGCTGCCGCTGCGCTCCCTGTGAAAGCCATCATGCTGTAGGCAGGAGATGCCACAGGTCACCCTCTGAGAGGCCCACACACAGGGAGTTAAGGCAGGTGCAGGTGGCAAGGACGTGGTTCTGGCCAGGGCTCCGGACGGCTCGTCTGCGGCCCATCCTGCCCCTCCGGGGCCCGTGCGGTCTCGGGCACGCACCTCATCTGTGCGCTGGGGGTGGGGAGAATGTACAAAGTGATGCGTGCATCCCAACTGTCAGCTGGCAGCTACATCCCAGCATTCCTGCAACCAGAAATGAGCCTCACGCCAACCCCGTGAGACCTGCGCTAGCGCCACCTTCTTAGGGACCAGGAGGCAGAAGAGGATGCGCCCTCTCTTACCTTATTTGAGCCCCACTGTGACTGCATTGTGAAGTAGGTATTTGGCCTATTCTACAGATGAGCAAATCGAGGTCTGGAGAGGAAGGGACTTAGCCCAGGAGAAAAACGATGCCCCAGACGTCACTGCTGGGGGAGCGGAACTCGCACTCAGGACTTCCAGAAGCCTGCCTCGGTACCCAGCACCCCCGCCACGGCCAGTGACCCTCGTGGAGGGAGGGGCTCCGGGTGGCTCCCACGGGGCTCTGTGACCTCGCGCAGGTCACCTCAGTGCCGCGTGCCCCTCAGTCAAGCTGGTATCATGTCTGTCTTCTCCTCCCCAGCGTCCGCCGCGGAGCCGGCCTCAATTCTAGTGATTCTAGTGTCCTTCCCTGGGCCCCGCCAAGTGGGCCCTCCACCACGAGGGCCTCCCCCCATCAGGGGACCCGCCAAGTCGTATGATCTTGGCACGTGGGGTCAGGATCAGAGCCTGACACCAACACCAATACTGAACGTGGGAACCTCAGATGGCCACCAGCTTGGGGACTGCTGTGCTCTGCCTCTGCGGAGGACGGGTCGGGGCAGATGGGGCGAGTGGTGGTTAATGAGGATCCCCCGCTACGAGGTCAAGGGAAGCCGTTTTGTGCTGTCGGCAGCATCTCCCCCTGCCGCCCCCGGTCACTCTGGTTCACACTGGCCGGGCAATACCACGTAAGCCCAGCTCTGCATGTGGGGGATCCGTGCCCAGACCGCAGGGGCTGGGCTCTGAGCATGGGGGCTCCAACCCAGAAAAAACCTATTCGGGGGACCCCAGAGCTCATGACTTTCAGCCGGTGCCACTTGGAGACGAGACGTGTGCAGACCCAGGCCAGGCCTCCTCCCACAGGGGCCTACGGAGCGCTGTCGCTGGGGCAGGGACCGGGAGGGCCGCAGGGGCTCCTGGCCTACCCCATCCTCTACACTCTCCTTTCTCCGGGCCTGTTGGGATTCAGCACAGGTGGGCGCTCAGGAAAGGTTGTCACCAGGACAAGAGCTACCCTTCATCGTCCTCGAGCGAGGGGCATCCTTCGGGCACTGTCCTCCCCCTGAGCCACCAGGGCATGCACAACACTCGCTCGAGGCTGAGCGCTGGTTAACCACTAGCAGGCATGGCCAAAAAGGCGCTGTGCCATTGGATCCGGCCTCGCGGCCACCAAGCACACATCTGCATCAGCCCCTCTGCAGGAGGGGAGCCTCGGTCAGGTTAAGAGGCCAGGTGAGTTGTCCGAAGTGCAGAGCCCAGTCAAGGATGCTGTGGACCGAAGCCAGGGCGCCTGGCTTAGCATCTTGCTGCCTCCCCGAATGAATCGTCTTATGCAGAGTTTCTCGCACTGTCTTGACCCATGGTTTAAAATCTTTATTACCTCATGACCCAGTCCAGAAACAAGCTATTCAAGAAACCACATTTAAGGTGCATCTTGATATTTTCTGTCCTACTCTAGTTTAGCTTCGTTTATTGCATTAAAGAAAAAAAAAAGGGGGCGCCTGGGTGGCTCAGTCGTTAAGCGTCTGCCTTCGGCTCAGGTCATGATCCCAGGGTCCTGGGATCGAGCCCCGCATCGGGCTCCCTGCTCGGCGGGAAGCCTGCTTCTCCCTCTCCCACTCCCCCTGCTGTGTTCCTGCTCTCGCTATCTCTCTCTCTGTCAAATAAATAAAATCTTAAAAAAGAAATAAAACCCTGGTCCAGACCCACTAAAATGATTTTGCAATTCCTCATCATAAAAACTGGGTCTTGTCGGAAAGTCTGCCTCCTCCCGACAGGCAGACGAGGCAGGAGGGGGAAGGGGCATGCCCAAGCGGGTCCTTGCCCAGCGCAGTGCCGGCCTAAAACCTCAGTGCTTGAGGGGCTGGGGATGAACAGACAGACCCCCCGGGGCCCACCACGAGCTGCTTACCTGAGGTAGCACCGCCACTCCTTGCCCGGCCAACCTCTGCAAGGAGCTGACCTGAGGACCCGTGACAGGCACTGCAGTGATGGCTCCCAAAGCCTGAAAGACAGGAGGGGGCACTGAGCCGGGACCGGGGACACCACGCTGAGGTCCCGGGGGCCGCCCAGCAGGTGCGCGGCTCTCACCACCTGGCGGAGCAGGGGGACAGCAAACTCGGCTCTTCCCTTTCTCCATCAGGAGTTCACAACCACAAAAGTATGTTTTCATCACGCAAGACATTTTGGATACCAGAGAAAGAAACAGGATGGCATCGTCCAGAAGACAGTCCTCGGCTTCCTTTTTTACAAGTAAGGTTTTTTTATATTGATACCCATCTACTAAAAGCCAACAGAAATCAACATTAATCCATACTTTGCACAATTATTTTTACAAACAACAAAATGAATCCAAGACCTAAAGGTAAAGCCTAAAACTAGAAAACTAAGAAAAAACCACAGGAGAAAAATCTGTGGGACCCTTGGTTAGGCAAAGAGCCTTAGATATAACACCAAAACCTGATCCATAGAAGAACAGTTTAACATACTGGACTACAAAAGAATTTAAAAGCTCCTGAAGCTTAAGTGTGAACAGAGTGAAAAGCCCCAGACTGAGAACACACACTTTCAAGTCACCTCTCTGATAAAAGACTGGCATCTGGACTATATAGAAGAACTCTCAAAATGCCATCATCAGAGGGGCGTCTGGGTGGCTCAGTTGGTTAAGTGTCTGCCTTAGGCTCAGGTCATGGTCCCAGGATCCTGGGTTAGAGCCCCGCATCTGGTTCTCTGCTCAGCGGGAGCCTGTTTCTCCCTCTCTCTCTGCGCCCCCCCCCCAAGCTTGTGCTCCCTCCCTCCCTCGCTCAAATGAATAAATTAAAAAAAAAAAAACACCACAATCATCAGAGAACAATCCAATTAAATAAAGGAACACAAGATTTGAACAGATACTTCACTAAAGAAGATAGGCAAATGGCAAATAAGCACATGAAAAGATGCTAAGCAGCATTAGTTGTTAGGGAAATGCAAATTAAAACCACAATGAGCTACTGGGCCACCCGCCTACTGGATGGCTGCATTTGAAAAGATGGACCAAATCAGGAGCTGGTGATCCTATGGGGCAGCTCATCCACTGCTCCTGGGAACACAAAATGGGACAAGAACACTGCAAAACAGCTTGGCCCTTTCTCATGAAGTTCAACATAGATTTAGTGCTATGGACTGAATGCTTATGTCCCCCTACCCCAATTCCTGTGTTGAAACTCTAAGGCCCAGGGTGACGGGGTGTGGACAAGGAGCCCTGACAGGTGATGGGTCATGGGGGCGTGTTTCCTCTCTCTCTCTCCCTCTCTCTCTCTCTCCCTCTCTCTCTCTCTCTCTCGCAGCAGGAGGATGGAGCAAGAATAAGAAGGTACCTGCTGTGCTCTCCTTGTGTCTCCCTAAAATCACATGTTGGGGGTGCCTGGGGCGGCTCAGATGGTTAAGCGTCTGCCTTCCGCTCAGGTCATGATCCCAGGGTCCTGGGATAGATAGCCCCACATCGGGCTCCTGGCTCAGCGAGAAGTCTGCTTCTCCCTCTCCCTCTGCCTCTCCCTCTGCTCACGCTCTCTCTCTCTCTCTCTATCTCTGTGTCTCAAATGAATAAATAAAATCTTAAAAAAAAAAAATCACATGTTGGAATCCAGGCTCTCGATGTGGGGGTGTTAGGAGGTGCACAAGTTAGGAGTGTGGAGTCTTATGAATGGAATGGTACTAGTATCTTGTAAAAAAAGGTTCCAGAGGGACCACGAGCCCTGACCCCATGGGAGCCCTGACCCCATGTGAGGACGCAGCGAGAAGTCCCCCAGCCGGAGAGGGCCCTCGTCCGTGCACAGCGGCGCAGTGGTCTGGGCCTCGCAGCCTCCAGAACGGCGAGCAGTGAATGTCTGTGGGTGCTCTGCTGTCCCGACTCGCCCGGGAATGCCGGCCGCAGCTCTGCCCACAGCGGCCCGGCTCGGGAAAAGGCCCACCACGGCCGAATGGCCAGTGCTCTCTGCACCCAGAGGACTATCGCTCAGCGATCAAAAGGAAGGGGCAGCTGATACACGCAACCACAGGGAGGCACCTCGGAACGGTATGGCTGAATGAAAGGAGCCAGGCACCAAAAATAAAAATAAATTAAAAAAAGAGGAGGACATACTGTATGATGCCATTTCTATAAAATTCCAGAAACAGTAAACTCATCTCCAGGACCAGGAAACAGGTCATAGGTTATGTGGAGATGAGGGGATGGGAGGAAGGGATGATGAAAGACACCGGGCACTTTGAAGGGGGAAGGATGTGTTCACCATCTTGATTCTGGTGCTGGTTTCGTCCGTCCCCGGAGGACACGGCGGAGGGTCCACGAACCACAGAGCTGCTACTCCTGATTGTGGGACGGCTCCTCCCGCCTCTTGAATTTGCCACCTGCCCCGCGTAGGTTCACATCCTTAAGACAGCTGCCTGCCTCTCTGCGCAGAGCCAAATCCCCCACATTTAACTGGAAATCCACTGTGGACAATTGTCAGAACAGAGCTTTACGTGCAAAGCAGAGAGCATTAAAGACAGACGTGGTCCATTTGTGAGGAAGGTTCTCGATCCATCGCACCATCTTCCGTCTCTCGCCTGCACGGTTCGGTAAGCAGTGCTAGAAGAACATCCCAAGCACGCCCGATGCCCACATTTTAAAAGATTCTGCCCCACCTTCTGCAAGGGAATGAGTGTACAAGGTTCTGCCCTCCCCAGCCCAGGCCTGCAGGCAATCAGCAACACCATCGGATCCCTGCGCCGGCCCAGGCGGGGACGGGTGGGGGCAGGCACGGAGCCCCATCTGATTAACAAGCTTCCAGGGGATTCTGCCAACCTGGAGACCACAGGCTGAGAGGAAGCCGGCCTGTCCCTTCGCAGGTTCTTCATCAGAGACCCACACAGGCGCTTGATGTCACCAATGAGTGAAGCTGTGTGGTCCCCGGACTGCAGGGATTCCTGCGTAAATGGGGGCCGGCCAGAAGATCCTAGGGCCGCAGAAATACATGCCCAACACCTATGGGAGCCAGAGAACAGGCGTCAACCGACTTTCCCTGGGAATTCCCTGCTGGCTTAGATGCCCCCATACAAGCCCTCCGGATGCCGCCAGCCTGTGGGGAGGGGCTGGGCAGCCCTTCCAGATGAGGGGTGTGCACCCCCTGAGTGTGCGTCCAGTCTTCGTGCGTCTTTGAGCCCATCAGCATACAGGTGTGAGGGCTGCCATGTGTGTCTACTTTGGGGGTGTTCCTATGCACCAGCCATTCATTTCTCTGGGTGTCCACTTTGGTGCATGTGTCTCTGTTCTGGGCACTTTCCTGATTCTCTGTCCATGTGCCTTGTGGGCTCGAAGCCTTCTTCCTGGTCGGCACTTGGCTCTCTCTCATGCGTTGTCGGACTTCCGGTCATGTGCCTTAGGAATTTACTGTCCAGGAGGGGAAGGGCGGGGACCCAGAGAGACTCGGGTGGATGGAAGCTGCTGGAGGCAGAGACCCTGAGGTCGGGGCGGGTGGGGGTGGGGAGGGAAGGACAGGGGGAGCTTTGCTGACCTCATTCTCCACACTCAGTTACTAAGAAAGAGACACAATGTGCCACAGGGCAGTGACCGGACGCCTGCAGGCCGCCCACAGAACAAACAGCATTCATCTGCTTCCTCCATCAGCGAGAACACCCCAACAGTCAGGGGCGCCTGACCGTGCTACGGTGTGTCGGGGTCCCTCTGTGCCAGGGCATCGGGAGGAGCCCCAAAGACGGGATGGCTCCCGGGTCAAAGCCCAAAGTCCCGGGCTTTTAGGAGGAGTCTGCTGCCAATGGGGCTGCCAAGCTGGGCCCCCCACCTCCCCCTTCCCAGGACACCCGAGTCACCTGCCACCACCGCCCACTCCCCATCTGCGCGAGGCAGGCTTCGGGGGACCCCCTCCAAGCCCCAGCTACTTGCTTCTCTCTGAGGCCTGCCCCAGAGTGTGTGCTTCCACGTCCTTATAAAGCTTTAATTAACAAGCTGAAAAGGCATTTTATTTGGCAGGGGCTGACCTTCCTGCTCCGTGTCGGAATTTATTGATACCAGCAGAGACAATCATCTTGGTGGCTCCTTCACGAGGACCATGTAGTTTATAGCCACGCTTTCGTCAAGATAAATGAGCTCCTTATGACTACGCTTACAGCTTTAAGCATCTTAATAGGAAGAAAAAGGGTCATAAAAGTCAAAGATAACTTCAAATTTTTCCTGCATCGGCGGAGTCCCTGGAGCAGCCTCGGAGAAACTCAGGTGTCAGGTGTCACTGCCCGTCCACGTGCTGGGGACAGACCGGCTCTGACACCAGCAGCGTGGGGTCCCCTGGCTCTCAGTGCCCAGTCTCCTCATCTGCAACAGGAAGAGATCCCGCTGCACGGGGCACGCAAGGGGCAGAGGGAGTGGGTGCCATGGGGTCCGCATGCTGAGCACTGGGTGGTGGGGCAGGGGAGGGTCCATCCCCTCCAGCCTGCCCAGAATTAGGGAGGGACAGGACTTGTGGCATCAGCCTGTCCGGGTACCAATCCTGGCATGGCCCGTTTCTTGTTGGGCAAACCTGGGGAAGCCTCATCCGCATCCCCTGACTCTGAGATGGGATGTGCGTACTTGGCTCCACCCTCCATCAGAGTAGAACACCCGGGGGCCCAGCCGTGCGAGTAAGTAGTAAAGGAAACCAGCACTACTGTGACTCGGGCTTCCAGCCTGCGCTCCCATCAGCGGTGTTTCCTTCTGTGTCAGAGGACAGACAGTGGAGCAGGTCTGCCTGCTGGGCTCCCCCGAACCCCAGGCTGGGGTGAGCCACGGGGCCACACCCCTACTGGGTGGAGGTGCTTTCAACCTGCCTTGTGGTGGGTCCCGTGACTGTGGCCAAGACCTGGACCGCTGGGCAGCACCGGACGCCCCACCCCCACCGGGACCCCCTTGACTCCCTCGGTCGTTCAGCAAACGTCCCAGAGCACCCACTGGGTAGCTGGCCGGCAAGCTGCTTGGCCCCGGGAACTGGGTGGTGG